TTACTAATACAGCAGACCCAAGGGCAGTGGGACGCGTGGCCACGGAATCATCGCCCCAACATCGCAAGCAGGACTCGAGAGAGTCCAGTTCAGTCTGCAGGCTCACCATTTCACAGAGCAGCAGAGACCGGTGGAGTTGTGGCCCAGTGGTCAGCGAACTCCGCTCAGAAGACAGCAGAGCCGAGTTCAATTCCAGTCACGGCTATCATCAGTGGCCAGTGATTATCTGGAAGCGGCCCTGAGCACCTGCGCCGACACCAATCGACACTTGGACCAGTGTGTTGAAGTATGACCGCCACGGTGTGGGGAAGCCCCCAGCAGTGGATTGACGATCGCCTCTTGAGGTGTTCTCGCGTCTTCGTCTAAACAGGCGACTGAATATAGCAACAGCGGACATCTCCACATCGCGCAGAGGGTCGTGTAAATATTTAAAAATGACCATTGAGATTGAGTAGGCGACGTGGAGGGGATTCAAACTTAAATCTTCTTTTATTAAATATCTTCCGATTCATATTCTTGGTTCTTTCGGTAAAGTCACGTAGAAGGGAAACAATAATAAAAATATTTTTATTTTTTTATAATTTTTATTATTATTTAAAAAAATATTCGTATTGTTTTTATTATTAATAAAAAATATTTTTATTGTTTCCCTTCTACGTGACTTTACCAAAAGAACCAAGAATATGAATCCCTGCAGTCACGAAAGCTTTAAATCAAAATGTATCTTCCGATTATTTGAGTAGGGGTGTCTGTAAATGGATCAGCCCTGTCTTGCGCCTTGTTCACGTTCGGAGTATTTGTCTGCTATAAATGTCCAGGTGATAAGCCACTCCGTTGATCTATCACTTGTGGCCGGGTTGTTTCTGAAAAAGATGCGAATGGCTGTGGGCTTTATCTGGTGAAATAAAATAGTTTAGCTTTATTTGTGTATATATTTAGTGATTTGTTTACCTTTCCTATACGTACTTTTCACTCATGTCGTATTTTTTATGCTTTGTTGTAACGTTCTGATCTGCCCCTACTGGACATCTGTTTAAAAAAAGAGCTTTATAGCTCATCGGATTCCTCCAGTGTAAAATAAATATTGAAATTCTGATTTCCCCGTGTGGTTAAAGGCAGCAAAGTGGAGGTCACCCAAGTCTCAAAGTGGAACAACAACAACCGCCATTTGCCGCTAAGTGGCGATGACGTCAACACGGCGCTTGTGCCAGGCTAGGTGCACTTTGAGGCCACGTGAAGTGGAACTAAGTCATCCGCGCGAGCACCCTGGAAAACAAGAATCTAACCACGCCAGACACCCCCCCCCCCCCCCCATTGGATTCATTTGAAAAGCGCACGGCCAACATCAATGACTAAGCACCATTTCAGTTGAACAACAGCGAGCGGTCCCACCCATTGACATGCATCATCAAACAATTCTTTAAAATTTTGTAGCCGAGCCTGGAGCACATAACTCGCAGAGAATGCGAAATAGCAATGCCAGCCGTAAGCGGTGCGAAAAGGTTGCGCAGCTCATAAAGGACCAAGTTTCGGGTCAACTGTCCATTGAGGGCTATTCCACAGCGCAAGACGACGTTCTTTGGAAGAGACATTCCGAGACATATTTACGATTCCACATCACACTTGGACTTTCAATCCAGCGGTGACCGCTTTGGAATGCGATGGAATCGGATGCAATACAATATTCTTATTGCGTACAGACGTTCGGAATAAGCAGCAAGGCTACAAATGTAAAAAAAATATGTTTTCATGTTTGTGAGCCATTCCACGGCTTCCGAGGTGATAGCTGAGTGGAAGAGTTTACTCGTTCCACCAGAGTACACGTGGTTGTATTGGGGTGGCTGAGTGGGGTAGTCCGTTCGTTCCACCAGAGTACACGTGGTTGTATTGGGGTGGCTGAGTGGGGTAGTCCGTTCGTTCCACTAGAGTACACGTGGTTGTATTGGGGTGGTTGTATTGGGGTGGCTGAGTGGGGTAGTCCACTCGTTCCACCAGAGTACGCGTGGTTGTATTGGGGTGGCTGAGTGGGGTAGTCCACTCGTTCCACCAGAGTACGCGTGGTTGTATTGGGGTGGCTGAGTGGGGTAGTCCACTCGTTCCACTAGAGTACACGTGTTGTTGTATTGGGGTGGCTGAGTGGGGTAGTCCGTTCGTTCCACCAGAGTACACGTGTTGTTGTATTGGGGTGGCTGAGTGGGGTAGTCCGTTCGTTCCACCAGAGTACACGTGTTGTTGTATTGGGGTGGCTGAGTGGGGTAGTCCGTTCGTTCCACCAGAGTACGCGTGGTTGTGTTGGGGTGGCTGAGTGGGGTAGTCCACTCGTTCCACCAGAGTACGCGTGTTGTTGTGTTGGGGCAGTCATCAGTGATACGCGCTTCATGGTTTGCATCTCACCACCGCATTTGCACTTTGAAAGTGGAGCCACAACCGAGTTGTGGCGTTACAAGGGCCGAGGAATGAGTGGCCGTGACAGAGGAGTGGAGTGGCGAGGGGGATGGGGAGACGAAGAGGATGGGCAAGAGGTGAGGCTTTACCAGAGGAATGGAAGGACGTTAAGGAGCGAAACGTATTCCAGTGGTAGGGTGAAAGGAGGGAGAAAGATCTAAAATGCGATTGGGCACAAGGAGGAGGAGGAGGGACAGAGACAGAGAGAAGAGTGTGAACGAAGGGCACGAGTGGGGACAGAGAGGCGAGATGAGGTTGTAGTTGTTAACTGGTTGTTGGGATGCGGTTGATGTTGCTGCTGGGACGTGGTTGTGGTTGTTCTTGGGACGTGGTTGTGGTTGTTGTTGGGACGTGGCTGTTGGTGTTGGGACGTGGTTGTGGTTATTGGGACGTGGTTGTTGGTGTTGTTGGGACGTGGTTGTGGTTGGGACGTGGTTGTTGTTGGGACGTGGTTGTTGTTGGGACGTGGTTGTTGGTGTTGTTGGGACGTGGTTGTGGTTGGGACGTGGTTGTTGTTGGGACGTGGTTGTTGTTGGGACGTGGTTGTGGTTGGGACGTGTTTGTGGTTGGGACGTGGTTGTTGTTGGGACGTGGTTGTTGGGGTTGTTGGGACGTGGTTGTGGTTGGGACGTGGTTGTGGTTGGGACGTGGTTGTTGTTGGGACGTGGTTGTTGTTGGGACGTGGTTGTTGTTGGGACGTAGTTGTTGTTGGGACGTGGTTGTTGGGGTTGTTGGGACGTGGTTGTGGTTGGGACGTGGTTTACAGCGGTCCCCACTATCGTCAACGCAGCAGAGAGAACCCAGGGGCTGTCCCTTCGTCGGGTCTTCCGTGAGATTCTCGTTTGGAAAACCACCCGTTCTCACATCTCGTGCCACTGCTGGACGTGTTAAGTTGGGTTTCCTTGCCCGCACCTCCTATTAACACGGCTGGCTCTGTACAGTGCAGAAGAAGTTCAACACAGTACGCACATCGCCACCGTGCAATGACAAGCACACACCCACGTGCAAGAAGAAGCAGCTTTCACTGCCTGCCCAGGTAAAGTCAAGGGGTTCTTCGTACTGCCAATGAATTCTCAATACAAGTCGTCTTCAAATGGTGTCGAAAACGCCACCGAATCTCAAGACGCTCCACAATTACAACGGGACATGCAGATCAGAGGCCAAGGGAGATTTTATATATATAAAAAAATATGTCAATCAAGGTGCAGATACAGACATTTTCTAGATGGCGTGGGGGGGGGCAGTCTTAGGCAGAGGAGAAGAGTGAGGTGTTTCAGCCCGGACAGGGGCAGAGTCAGCAGCATGGACCGCTGAGACGAGAGGGAATTCCAGACTGTGGCAGCAGCAGCAGCAGAGAATGAACCACCCCTCCCTCCTCTGCTGGAGGGTGGCCAAGGGGTTTCGCACAAGGCCTTGGTCGCTGGAGTGGAGTGTACGTGAAGGAGAGACGAGTGAGATGAGGGAAGAGGTAGGCAGCAGTATATCCACGTAGGATCCTGAATGTACAGCGAGGGTGATGGCGTCGTGAACTCAAGCAGGCCAACACAAGCTCAGTGACAAAACAGTGATGTGGTGTACGACCAGTCATGCACGCACATCGCACACCAAAGTCCTTTCAATTCACTTGGATTTATAAAAAAAAATATGATTACGTAGCCCCGAGTCTACACGAGTGAACACGGTGTTGTCATCAAGACCACGTGCTCTGCAGATACTTGCGTCCCAAAACCTGTAGCACCAGTCGTGCTGGCGACGACACTTGTACCTCAGGGTGTCCTCCTCAGCTGCGAGCCAGCAACACGTCCAAAGCAAGTCACATTAATTTGGCGACCCACGATTTACCCCACAAGTTAAATTGCCGAGTTGAATCCCACGCCTGCTGTGTGCCTAGGATGACACGGCATGCGCCCACTGGCATCAGACGTCGGAAGCCGAGCAGGTCTTGAACCTGGTTGGTCCTTGGATGGGCAACCACCATGCACACAAACACAGGGGGGAGGGGGAAGCTGTGGTGGGCAGGACAACAAAACACACCTTGACCAGCCTGCCCTGGCCAGAGTGGCGCAGTATGGTCAATTAACCCCGACTAGCAGCAAGACGAGGGTAGGGCCCGATCCAGCAGTGGATTTGCACACACAGGCGATACATGTACAGACTGAATTCCCAGTAAAGTCTTTGTGTTATCTCTAGCCTTGTGGTATTGCCAAGTGCCCCGGAGTACAATAATACATTGTACATTTGCACCAATCTTATCGCGGAGGACAGATTCAGATAGGTGTCGTGTTCTAATCGGGGGCGCTGCTGCCACCCACGAATAGTCGGTTTCCATGTGTACATGTTTCACTTCTTCCGCACCATACGTAGCGAGTCGATGTCAGTCCAGCCAGCAACGTTTACGCAAGAAAGCCATCACATTAACTTGGCCCACCGTCTAATCACACAGGGTGGTTCACTGCTCACTGTGCGAATCCGGAAGGCGGTCTCTCTCTTCATCTCATGAAACTGATAAAGCGATTTAGAATCGGGTGTAAAGAGCCACGCAGAAAACCACAATGTTCGGAGAGAAATATAAACGGTTTATCATTTCACATGCATAGCGGTTCTTCTATGGGGACACAGGTTTTCACTTTGAAAAATGTGATGATGACATTTCTTCTTTGTGTGACTTCATTGTAAAACAGCATTCCCTTTTGTTTGATTGTCTATATCACTCGTATTAAAAGTAAAAATTACATTTCAATTACAATTCACGTCATTTCCAATGCAAACACATACAATTAAGGTACAGTATTAAGTAGCGTTAACTGGTGTATCTGCTGGATTCAACCAATGACATTTAAGGCAGAGTTGACCTTGGGGAGGCACATCCCACGTTGAATGATGTTCGACATTGGTGGTTATTACTTGTGCACCACTACCAACTCGGGTTGGCATGATATACAGGATATATACTGTGTACCACTACCAACTCGGGTTGGCATGATACACAGGATATATACTGTGTACCACTACCAACTCGGGTTGGCATGATACACAGGATATATACTGTGTACCACTCCCAACTCGGGTTGGCATGATACACAGGATATATACTGTGCATCACTACCAACTCGGGTTGGCATGATACACAGGATATATACTGTGTACCACTACCAACTCGGGTTGGCATGATATACAGGATATATACTGTGTACCACTCCCAAGTCGAGTTGGCATGATATACAGGATATATACTGTGTACCACTACCAACTCGGGTTGGCATGATACACAGGATATATACTGTGTACCACTACCAACTCGGGTTGGCATGATACACAGGATATATACTGTGTACCACTACCAACTCGGGTTGGCATGATATACAGGATATATACTGTGTACCACTACCAACTCGGGTTGGCATGATATACAGGATATATACTGTGCATCACTACCAACTCGGGTTGGCATGATACACAGGATATTTACTGTGTACCACTACCAACTCGGGTTGGCATGATACACAGGATATTTACTGTGCATCACTACCAACTCGGGTTGGCATGATACACAGGATATTTACTGTGCATCACTACCAACTCGGGTTGGCAGTGATACACAGGATATATACTGTGTACCACTACCTACTCGGGTTGGCATGATACACAGGATATTTATTTTCACAATGCGATATGTTCACGATGACGATCATCGCGATACCACTTTCCTACTTGCATTGCATTTCACATTTTTATCAATATTGTTTTTGTGCTTTGTTGTATTTTTAATACAAACATTGCTTCAGTCCTTCAACCAGCGCAACAAAAGCCTGCCCACGAGTCTCATGGTCAATGCAAACGTACGAATCTGTTCGGCTTATAATGCACATTTACACAATAATTCAGGGTTGAGAAAATGATATCATATCACCACCAGACCATTATTCCATTTTTTATAAAGTACTGATGTAATGGGTAATAACAGTTCTTTTTTTAAAGTTATAATTGCGCTTGATTTTTAATGCAAGAAAATAAAATATTTGCAAAACAATAAACGGGCAACGTTAATCACGCTGCCGCTGCCATTCCCGTGGACCCTTACATCGTACGAGTCAGCCGAGTATCGCCCCAAGCCTGCAGCCAACAGGGCACTGTCTTGTAAATCGAGGTTGCTGTAATCGGAGCGCTGTGTTCCTGATCACTTGCAAATCGCTTCCCACACACAGGCACGGAGAGAATGTCCACAACAACACACAAAAGGGTGCTGCTCTCTCAGGCCATGGGACGGGTCTCACAGAGGCTCAATGAGGCATCATGATGGTTCACGTTATTTGCCATTAAAATGCATCACGGTTGATCACTGCATTTGAACGCCCAAACGCGCACGCCCAGACTTGTCTCTGCCGGCTCTGTACAATCGCGTGTACGACGCCAATGCGAAATTAGCGCCAAGTCCACTCCCCATCACGCGCCATTACGGAACAAAAGCACGCAAACACGGTTCACCAATTAAGCGTTAAGCTGTGGGCGATTGATATAAATATCCTGGGAAGAGTACAATTTGACATTTCCCTCAACCAAACTCCCCCTCAATTTCATCAGTTCTCAGACAAGGCACCAGGATTAAGCACTTGCATGGGAGAAACAATCTTGTAAGTTTGGGCTGCGATGGAGACACTGTCACTTGTACCTCTGGCTCTTACACGAGTATCACTGTTTCGATCTTCCATCTCTTCGGGGTTGTTTTGTGGTTGGTAAACAGAAACTGCCGAAACACCAGGACCCATTTACGAGGAAGTTTGAGCTTAATACTCTGACACCGCCTCAGTACCCTGAATCACCCAGCCGACTGATGTTGCATATTTATTTTCAATATACATTTATATATATTTCTAAAATATTTCTGCCAATTATACTCTCATTGTAATAACGGTATCCTGCAATTAGACAGACCGTTCTATCCAGAAATGATTGCAGCTAAAATTGCATCAACCTGTGTTAGATATCCCGTGAAGAGGACATCACAGAAATACTTCTGAAGTCATTTCAATAGATATTGTTGCCCAACCTCGGAACATACCTTTTAATGTCAGTAAATACAAAAACGCTAATTTCGTAGATGAAGCATAGCCAATTTAGGTGGAAAATCAACTTTTAAGCGATGGTTTTCTTGTACAGACACTGGTGACCAGGCTGAAATCATAAAACTCACTACACATGGTAATTTAGTTTAATGGCAGGTGGCCAAAACCTGGATTTGAACTCAGGATCTCTGTGCGCCCTCGGCCACAAGACAACCACATCGACGCGTGTTGTGACGTTCACGATTTTTCAGCGTGTTGTGCACTCTTCATCTTTGCCAGCTCCGTCAGGCGCTCATCCCTCCACTTTCGCCGGGCGCTCAGCGACTCCTGATTGGCTGGGGTACGAGCGCACATGGCCTGGGTGGTGGGTGGGCGGCACATTCAACCATCGCGCGTGCAGTCACCGTTACAAAATCAAATCGTCAAGCGTCACCGCTGCCACGAAGAGTATCCGACCGTCACAGGTTCACCCTGACCCAATGAACCGCCCCCCCACCCAGTTCTGTATTTGTGCACGGTGTACCCGCCAATTGCTAGAGATGTTCCCAAATCCGAACTTTTGACACATCACGCGGTAATGTATTCTTAATCTCGCGTACATGCGTTCGCTTCTTAAAGCACGCTCAAGAGCTTCTCCGTATTTAAAGCAGTGCATGATCTTCATCCGGTAACACATTCGTGTAGTGTAACCGTGATTTTCTACAGATGTTCACAAATCTGAACTTTTCATACATCTGCCTAGACCTGTGTCTCCAGCAAGTCAGATTTGCAATGGTGCACTGTAGGCACAGCTGTATGTCAAGCCACTACCAGATGAAGCCCTCCATATGGCTTGACAGTAATGTTTTTATATCATACGTCACCACTTGATCAGTGTAGGTTGGTGAAGGGAGCACCAAGGACCTTTCCAGATATCACTTTCCACAGGTATTAGTCATGGGTGAGAACTGATCTTATGTGGCCAGATTCATAATGCAGTGTGCTAACCACTGCACCACCACTCCACGGCCACCAGTATTACTGTGATGTTAATACTGGTAGGAAACCGGGATTAATTCACAGGAGGCAGGGGATTCATTGTGTATGTCTGTGGATGTCTGTCCACGTGGGAGGGGTGGGGCTGGGTGGAGAGGGGAGGGTAGGGAGGGTAGGGAGGGGCTGGGTAGGGAGGGGCTGGGTGGGGAGGGGAGGGTGGGGAGGGACTGGGTAGGGAGGGTAGGGCTGGGTGGGGGGTGGGAGGGGTGGGGCTGGGTGGGGTGGGGCTGGGTGGGGAGGGGCTGGTCACCCCGTGGTGCCCTTATAAAACTCAACGTTTAACCTACTCACGCCGGCTTGTGCCCGCCCTCACAGTCGGGCATATTTGCTGAATACACCACGTGGTGCCGCCATTGACCCTGGCCATTGACCGAGCAACCCAACGTTCCTACCAGCTCCCTCCGCAGGAATATGTTCACAAATATTAAAGTTACACAAATCTCCCTTTGCAAAACTGACTTGCCTTATTGGCCTGTCGCCAAGTTTAAAGGACGTGTAAGTTGAAACTGGAACTATAATTTTTAATAAACACTACTGGGTAAAGTTTGAATGCGTCATAAAAAATATGATTATACTCACACGACAAACATGTGAATTGTGCTGAAAGAATTATTTAAAATTCACACGGTTTCATTATTTATATATAAAATGGAATATATATTCATACAAGTTTATTTTTTTCTCTGTTATTTTGAGTCTTTTCCCCCAATTTAACACTTGCCATCAGCCCTCCTTCTGGGGTCAATAAAAATGATTACCATGTTGTAAGGAAGTCAACAGTGGTTGTCCTATGGAGAGGCCTTCCCCTGCCATATTTATGAGGAATTTCTACCACTGGCTCAGGGTTACAAGCAGGAGATGAGCACCGCATCAATACTCAAGCATTGAGAGACTTTTATTTTTCACGATTTGAACACAACCATCTGGTGTTTTAAGGCCGAGTCAACCTAGGCGAGGCCCAGGGCCGGTTCAGATATTCGCCATCGATGTCAGATGTCAGGGACGTTGGCCGCCGGGTTCGTAAGACAGTGGGCGAACCACTACGCTGACAATTCCCACCAATATGAAAAACCACATCGATCTGAAAGAACCATTATTCGCTTGCTCAATGTATTAGATGTGATTTGCATTTTGGAGGTTAAAGAATTCCCATTATTCATTCACGTTTTATTTCAATGAACCACGATTTGTTAAGGCAGTCCAAATGCATCCACCCACCTGGTCGATGGTGTCCAGAGCTTCCCCAGCGAAGTTCGGCAGAGGCCCAAACGCAGACATGATGCTCGTCATCCCGGCTTCGTAGCGTTCGCAGTAGCTCTTGAAGCCTGCACACACACGGCCACCCGTTATTGGCTCGAAGCCCACAACCATCACAGCTGCTTCACATGCAGCGGTCGGTACAAGCCCAGGCCGGTTCTGATAGCCCCCTGTTAAAGTCTGATAGCCCCCTGTTACTGTCTGATAGCCCCCTGTTACTGTCTGATAGCCCCCTGTTACAGTCTGATAGCCCCCTGTCACTGTCTGATAGCCCCCTGTTAAAGTCTGATAGCCCCCTGTTACTGTCTGATAGCCCCCTGTTACTGTCTGATAGCCCCCTGTTACTGTCTGAGAGCCCCCTGTTACTGTCTGATAGCCCCCTGTTACTGTCTGATAGCCCCCTGTCACTGTCTGATAGCCCCCTGTTACTGTCTGATAGCCCCCTGTCACTGTCTGATAGCCCCCTGTCACTGTCTGATAGCCCCCTGTCACTGTCTGATAGCCCCCTGTTACTGTCTAATAGCCCCCTGTCACTGTCTGATAGCCCCCTGATACTGTCTGATAGCCCCTGTCACTGTCTGATAGCCCCCTGTTACTGTCTGATAGCCCCCTGTTACTGTCTGATAGCCCCCTGTTACTGTCTGATAGCCCCCTGTCACTCTCTGATAGCCCCCTGTTACTGTCTGATAGCCCCCTGTTACTGTCTGATAGCCCCCTGTTACTGTCTGATAGCCCCCTGTCACTCTCTGATAGCCCCCTGTTACTGTCTGATAGCCCCCTGTTACTGTCTGATAGCCCCCTGTTACAGTCTGATAGCCCCCTGTTACTGTCTGATAGCCCCCTGTTACAGTCTGATAGCCCCCTGTTACTGTCTGATAGCCCCCTGTCACTGTCTGATAGCCCCCTGTTACTGTCTGATAGCCCCCTGTTACTGTCTGATAGCCCCCTGTTACTGTCTAATAGCCCCCTGTCACTCTCTGATAGCCCCCTGTTACTGTCTGATAGCCCCCTGTCACTGTCTGATAGCCCCCTGTTACTGTCTGATAGCCCACTGTCACTGTCTGATAGCCCCCTGTTACAGTCTGATAGCCCCCTGTCACTGTCTGATAGCCCCCTGTTACAGTCTGATAGCCCCCTGTTACTGTCTGATAGCCCCCTGTTACTGTCTGATAGCCCCCTGTTACTGTTTGATAACCCACTGTCACTGTCTGATAGCCCCCTGTCACTGTTTGATAACCCACTGTCACTGGCGCATCTTAAGTAAGTCACCGCCGGGGACCCTTGCGGTGAGGGTGACTTTCCCACCGGCTGTTTTCCGTGCCGAGCCAGAATCCGACCGTGATGTGCTGGCCCCCGCAATGCGTCTTGATTCGGCGTGCGATTAAGCAGAGCCCACGGAGCGGGCGAAACGATACGTCAATTGCGCGTGACTTTCGTGAGTATGCTGCAAGGGCACCGTGTCACCCCGTTGTTTACACGCGCCTCGACTTGCCCATTGCGCGTAACGTCGGCGGCATGGCTCGGTTTGCAGTGGAAAAATATACCTGTTTAAACTAAACTATTTTAATTTTACCCAGTAAGGCCTACTGAACTATAAAGCTCTTTTTCAGAAGCAACCTGGCCACAAATGATACCACAAAGTGGCTGATCATGTCGACATTTATAGCGGCCAAATACTGTAAACGCGTGATGTTGATTCTAAATAAGGAGGGAAAACCGGAGGACCCGGAGAAAAATCCACGTGACCACGGGGAGAACGTGCTAGCTCCAAATATACAGGCATCGAGGTTGGGATCGAACCCACGGCCTCCTGTATACCAGGCGAGGTAGTTAACATCTCCTGGCCACCGTGGCCAACGTGACACCGCGGTTGCCGCGCCGAGCCAGCCAGGCATGGTTGCAGTGAAGCTCGGTTGTGCAGTGAATAAAGAGGTGATGTGGTGGTGGATGTTGAGGAAACCTTCAGCGTTGAGGTGCATGGTCTCCAGGGGGCCCACGAAGGCGTAGCGAGGGCCGAGGCCTTCGGTCATGACGAGGTCCACATCCTCCGGGGACATCACCCCATCCTGTGGAAAACCACGCACACAATTATCCCCCTTTTATTCTTGGCTTGGAAACTATGCCACACGCTCTCCCGCATTGCCTTGTGGGAGCCTCGGTACGTCTTCTGACCTACCGATGAAGTTAGTTTATTTTCTGAAGACGTACACATACGTCATTGGTATGGGAAAGGGTTAAGTGGCAAATCACACAATGAGTGACGCCAAAACAATTTCATAATTCGTATACTCTGTTTTCTAAAGAACAGCCTTTGCATTCATAATAAAGGTTTTTGGGTTAGATCGCATTATCTATAAATGTGTCGCAACCCTCCACCACCCGATACGGCCTATCAGTAAAAAATGCGTCACGTTGACAAATAGTTCACTACTCTAGCCCACGGTGTGTTGAAGAGTGGATCCACAACATTTCGCTGGAAATTACATGTTAACAGAAATTGCATGTCAAGAGCAAATTCCTATCGTAAAATATTTCTGGAATTTCACAAATGGCTATCAAAGTATTTCCAAAGTGCGTCAATAATAATTAAAAACAATAGGAGTATTGTTTTTAACAGTTCGATGAGTAAATCCACCGAGGGCATCACACATTCATGCGCTGGCTCCCGAAGCCCTCTGCCTTGAGCCAGCTGTCATCGATTGGCAAATTCCGCATGGCGACTTAAAACAGGTGCTTCCTGGCTCACTGACGATCCACACAGGTGATGATTCCCAGGGATGAAAGACACAGGATTCTGGCATTTACGAAGCCCACCTTGATGTGGGAGATCATATCAGCTGGCTTTTGAAGGGAAGATCGGGTTGAGTGGAAAACCCATGAATTAATGAAGACGGCGCGGTGCAGAAGGGACAGGAGACAAAGCGGAGCCCGGCAGTTGGGGATGCGTGGGGAGGTGGGGCAGGGAGTGGCGGGTGGCCACGGGAGACACCACGCGGGGATTTGTGAAGAGCAGCCAGATTTTTGGTGTCCAGTTCGCACGCACGCATTGCGACCGAATACGGAGCGACGCGCAAGCGAACCGATACCACACCGCCGTGAGCGTATGCGGCAGATGTTGCAATGCCGCGTCACTAACTCGAGCACACTAATTATTGAAGCCACCAAACAGCAGTGGCCACATTGCCCAACAAGATGCTGTGCACAGCTCATCTTTGAAGACCTCTCCAAGCCAGAAGTGCCAATTCTACATTCCTATGGCAGAGACCAGAATAACGCGAGAATATTCACTCTTGACCTTCCACAAAGCGGTACTATGTTTGTTAACCGTAGAGGTAAGGTACTCAGTATCATCATCAACAGCCATGGTCAATCCACTGCTGGATGAAGCCCACCCCCCCAAGCCGTCATCAATTCTTGACAGGCTTGTGTTGGAACAATCCATCCAGTTCAGGGGTGGGCAACCAAAATAACAAGAAGCATTTTTTTTGTTAATTATAAAAATCTCAATATTTCAAGAGCCACGATGCGTGTGCATTCGAGACGGTGGCCATGAATAAAGAACGTCACGAAGTAGTCCTTGAAGAGCCGCACGCCGCTCCAGAGCCACAGCTTGCCGACCCCTGATCTAGCTGCTCCATACGAGAAATCCAATTGCTGCACCTCTGTGGTGGATGTCGTCTCGGGAGCAATTCCCTCCTTTGGCTACTGCTCCGTAAGTCTCGATGACCGGTCATCGTTCCAGCAAGCGATGTGTCTTGCCCAAGCATATTTTTATTTTCTTGACAGCCAACTTGATGTCCATTATTTGTGCGTGTTCTCTTCTCCACGTGTTACTCTGTCTCACAGCAAGCGTGCAAATTCTCCACGCTTCTTCAGATTCTCTTCGATTTTATTTGTCAATGTCCTTGTTTCTGATCCATATATCACAGCGGGTGATATACACCGATGAAACACTTTCTTATTAAAGTACATCGGTATTCAAAGTTTAGTTTTGTCAATTATTTAGTTTAGCTTTCCAAAATCAATATTTTAAAAGAGCCTCACGATGCATCAGGGCTCATTTTCAAGAGGGTGTTATTGTTTTGTAATGCACGGCAGATTTACTGTGAAAACAAAAACATGATCCTCGCAGCACGGATTAAAAAAAAATCTTTGCAGTAGAAAAAAGGGTGACCGAAATTTCGGGGAGAATTAAAATCTACCGGTCATATATCATAAAAAAATATATCTATAAACCGTAGTCAAATCTACGCACATTAACCACACTTAATATTGCCTTTCAACCATCCTGGGTGCCGACTGAAAAACGTACGCAGGAGCCGAGTAAGACACGGGCGACAAGTTTTAGGGCAGAGGTCGGCAAAAAAAATAACAAGAGGTAATTATTTTTTCGAATTCGGTAAAAAAAACTCAATATTTCAAAAGCCATTGGGAATGCATGTCAATAGGAGACGGTGGTGGTCCTTAATAAATGACGCTACGAAGCGGTCCTTAAAGAGCCACCGCATGCAGCTCAGGAGCTGCAGGTTGCCCAGCCTTGATTAACGGTATCAACCGAGACCACAGCAGCTCCGTGCGTGAATAAAAAGTTGGGAAAACAAACCGTCTGTCGTCCGTTGCTATCCGCGAATCATTCACCACTCAGTTTGATCCGCGGTCTGAATTGGTCACTCTCGCAATAAAATAATCATGAACCGAAATGCAAGACAAATGGAAGAGGGGGGAAAAGGAGGGGGGAAAAGGAGGGGGGAAAAGTCCCAGAATATTTTTGCGACGGTATTGCCGATCGAATTTACTCCGTAATTAACGGACGGCGTTTCACGTTACCGTGCCTGAGTGTCAATTACGCGGAAATGTTCTCAATTAATCAGGAGATCAAAGTAATTTAGAAAATGACGTTTAACCTGACCGTTGTTGCCATTTCTACCGATTTGCGGAGTAAAAAAAACACGAGGTTAAAATGTACTCCGACATAAACGAGCGTTTACCTCAGCGCCGGCGGATTTCAAGCACTCCCATGCCATTTTGTCTCTACAAGCATGTAACTTCAAGCTAAACATTGACAAATGTTTCAGCGAGTACAGCGAGGGAAAAAAGTATTTGATCCCCTGCTGATTTTGTACGTTTGCCCACTGACAAAAAAATGATCAGTCTATAATTTTAATGGTAGGTTTATATGAACAGTGAGAGACAGAATAACAACAAAAACATCCAGAAAAACGCATGTCAAAAATGTTATAAATTGATTTGCATTTTAATGAGGGAAATAAGTAATTGACCCTCTCAATCAGAAAGATTTATGGCTCCCAGGTGTCTTTTATACAGGTAACGAGCTGAGATTAGGAGCACACTCTTAAAGGGAGTGCTCCTAATCTCAGCATGTTACCTGTATAAAAGACACCTGTCCACAGAAGCAATCAATCAATCAATCAGATTCCAAACTCTCCACCATGGCCAAGACCAAAGAGCTCTCCAAGGATGTCAGGGACAAGATTGTAGACCTACACAAGGCTGGAATGGGCTACAAAACCATTGCCAAGCAGCCTGGTGAGAAGGTGACAACAGTTGCTGCGATTATTCGCAAATGGAAGAAACACAAAAGAACTGTCAATCTCCCTCGGCCTGGGGCTCCATGCAAGATCTCACCTCGTGGAGTTGCAATGATCATGAGAACGGTGAGGAATCAGCCCAGAACTACACAGGAGGATCTTGTCAATGATCTCAAGGCAGCTGGGACCATAGTCACCAAGAAAACAATTGGTAACACACTATGCCGTGAAGGACTGAAATCCTGCAGCGCCCGCAAGGTCCCCCTGCTCAAGAAAGCACATATACATGCCCGTCTGAAGTTTGCCAATGAACATCTGAATGATTCAGAGGACAACTGGGTGAAAGTGTTGTGGTCAGATGAGACCAAAATGTAGCTCTTTGGCATCTCAACTCGCCGTGTTTGGAGAAGGAGGAATGCTGCCTATGACCCCAAGAACACCATCCCCACCGTCAAACATGGAGGTGGAAACATTATGCTTTGGGGGTGTTTTTCTGCTAAGGGGACAGGACAACTTCACCGCATCAAATGGACGATGGACGGGGCCATGTACCGTCAAATCTTGGGTGAGAACCTCCTTCCCTCAGCCAGGGCACTGAAAATGGGTCGTGGATGGGTATTCCAGCATGACAATGACCCAAAACACACGGCCAAGGCAACAAAGGAATGGCTCAAGAAGAAGCACATTAAGGTCCTGGAGTGGCCTAGCCAGTCTCCATACCTTAATCCCATAGAAAATCTGTGGAGGGAGCTGAAGGTTCGAGTTGCCAAACGTCAGCCTCGAAACCTTAATGACTTAGAGAAGATCTGCAAAGAGGAGTGGGACAAAATCCCTCCTGAGATGTGTGCAAATCTGGTGGCCAACTACAAGAAACGTCTGACCTCAGTGATTGCCAACAAGGGTTTTGCCACCAAGTACTAAGTCATGTTTTGCAGAGGGGTCAAACACTTATTTCCCTCATTAAAATGCAAATCAATTTATAACATTTTTGACATGCGTTTTTCTGGATTTTTTTTGTTGTTATTCTGTCTCTCACTGTTCAAATAAACCTACCATTAAAATTATAGACTGATCATTTCTTTGTCAGTGGGCAAACGTACAAAATCAGCAGGGGATCAAATACTTGTTTCCCTCACTGTATGAGTAAATGCCGCGAGGCTGCTATTATCTTTTCAAAAGTTTTACTTGCTCAGCAAAATCGAATGCAATGATCAATGGGTGGTGAATGGTACAAGCCATTGCTTTTGTGCCTACAGAATCGACCTCGGCTGCCTGCATTCCAAAGGAAAGTTTGACAAAAACACGCACCTTGTGCTCGTCACGGCAACAGCCGCCATTCGCCACTGTGTGGCAGTGATGTCATTACACCACTTGCGCCAGGCATAGGTGCACACTGAAGCCACGTGAAGTGTCGAAGTCTCACTGAAAGGTGTTATGGGTTGACTGTCTTAGATGACTGGCAGATGCATCACCTGTGCTCCCCACTTGCCGACACGTGCCAACTTGCTGCGTCTTAGCTTCCCGGCGCTCCGCTCATTATTGCCATTGCCAACACACCCACAGCCATAAAGGTCTTGCATTTTAGATGAGCTCAGTTCGGGAACGTTCACTAAATTTGGCGTGGAACATCTTTATCTCTCCAGTGATGTTCAGACACCGAACGAGCTACTTATTCGAGGCCAAGTCAACTTAGAGGTAGGTCACGACAGGTTCGGACGACCACTTAAAAGCGTGCGTGGCTGAGAATCAAACCCAAGTGTCTCGGTTCGTAAGGCAGCGCGTCGGCTGCCATGCCGCCACTCCTGACAAAAACACAAAAGTATGAAATGGGCGCAAAGTGCCCGCGCAAGGCGCGGCGGACACGGCGGGGGATCGCGAGCGCGGGGATCGGCCGCCGAAGAGCGTGGGTCACGGGGCAATGCTTTGTAAATTAATCATCGGCGACCCAACACGTGCCCAAGCGATGGGCTCGGCTTACGGGGCACGCTTGACCAGCCAGGCATAGAGAAGCGGGCGCCACAATGAGGGACGCGTCCGAAACGCGCCCACCCCCCGGCTCGCCACCGCAACAGCGGCCCTTCTTAATGGGAGACCAGTGCACAAAGCAGCGCCGAGGGATGCGTGCTCAGAATTCGAGCGGTGGTCCGCGAACGTCTCCCGAGGGTTGGCAGTTCTTCTGTCGCACGGCTGATGGGAGACGCAGGTGGTCAAGCGAGATAACTGCGTCAGGAGCAGCAGCGGAGCATATCACTGTACGGTCTCCTCCGTATTTGTGGATCGGGCATTGTGTCGCTATATCCGTTCTATGGTCTGTTCTGGACGACCAAAGTTGCGCGCTGTAGAGTTTACATTTTTCATCGGTGCATCATCAGGTATCCGCATCTACGGCTGTGGGTTTGTGCAGCGGATGCGGTCTAGGGTGGACCAAGAGCTTCGTGGAAGATCCAACCCAGGGGTTTCTCGGTTGGGTCTTTCACAGCTTCGGAAAGGTTTGCAACCACAGCATTAGAGGAGGTGAGCAGGGTGATGGCATCGTTCCAACTGCGAACACAAGTTAGCTGCACTGGGCAGGGCACGTGGCTGCAAGGCAAGTGGTCGATGATCAAGAACAGAGACAGAGTGGCCACCAAGGAATGCGATGCGCCCGAGAGGACGTCCACCGATAAGGAGATGGAGCGATGAAATCAGTTTCGCGTGCAGGTTCTAGGTGGATTGTTACGTCGCAGGATCGGGAGGAGTGGTGGCAGCCATCCACCAGTGGATTGAACACGGCTGACAATGATGGTATTTAAAGAGTCTGGTCAGATTCGTTTATCATTATAGAGGGTAATAGAAACAGGAGAAATGTGATTTTAAAAAGAGTTACTCTGCAATGTGATGTGGTGACCTGCGTCATGTTTTTAATGATTTCACAGTATTCGCTCACTCTCAGCGACACAACGACTCAGAGGCGCGATGAAATCACAGACAAGAGGGAAGGCAGCAACAGGCCAGCGGTGCGACAGCACCAACAATTGCCCAAGCTCTGCGGTCCTCTATATATTCAGATGTTATCAGCCAATGTAATGAGTGTTCATACACGTGAGAGGAAACCGGAGTACCCGGGGAAACTCCACACGCGTGCGAACGATGGAGGCAACGCTACTCACGTACAGATGGGAAAATATGGAGATTCATCCACTTGCTGTTGTACTGCCATCTTCTGACACCCTAGGATATGGTTCCTCGACAACCATGGGAAGGGATTTTCACGGCATGTGTGATCACCCCAACCCTCGCCCCCTACGGTGCTGGATTGCAGGCGTGCGTGTCGATTGTGGCTTCCCTGTCAAAGAATAACACAGATCACTCTCCACTTGAACAGCAGGAGCTGCTGCATCATTTAGCAATTCAGTCATTTACGTCTTGAGGTCCCTGCCTCAGGGCAGCTGTTTGATTCAAGTTCCTTCCCTCCTCGCCGATCTTGCATGCACTTTTTATTTCAGCACAAGGACACTCTTTGTTTAAGTTACTGAGCAGCACGTTACTTTTTCTATCTCTTGGTCTCTTCCCCAAAAATTTTATTCTTTCCAGGGCTTCCTTCAGTAAAGCCTCCCCCCCCCTGATGCGATGTCCAGTAGACACATTTCACCTTCTCCATGTTGCTGCATTCTGCAAGCCTCCGACCATACACCTCACCCAATTGTTTAGCTTTCTCTCAATTCTTCAAATTTCACTTCTCTATTCCAGACCATACTCTAACACTTCCTCGTTTATTTTCTTTCCATCAGAATGATTTTCCCCATTGACACCACATCCATATCCAGTCCTCTAACTGGCTCCCTTCTCAGCATTCATGCATTCGCTGAATATAAAAGCAGAAGGACGTTACCAGCCCTCTACTTGGATTGCCCGCTCATCCGATTCCATCGGCAGCATCTTTGTGCCGAATGCCACTTCTACCAAGGAAATCCTGCCTCGAGGTCTCTCTCATCCCGGAACCATGGCCTCGTTTAAATGGGGCACTCACAAATTCAGGAAGAGAGAATGACACAAGTCAATGTTGAAAAACTGTACGCAAATGTTAAACGCTAAACGGAATGATTAAGGACGCGAACCGCTGGTGCGTATCATGCGCTCTGCTCTAGCTCTCGCCAGCTATGCAGGCGATGAAAGGCTGCGACACCCATCACTTAATTCACACTACATTTTACATTTTGTCCAACCACCTCCATGTATGTTTAACTTCTTTCGCACCGTATGTAGGCAAACGTGCTGATCGGAGGTTCGGGGGATGGACAACAAACTAAACACAAAAAGAAGTTCTAAAGAAATGAATTTGTCAATCTGGGTGATTTAAAAGCGCATAGATCCAGTGGCTTCCTAATATCGGAGGAGCGTTCCAGACGGCCGCAGAAGCGCATCTGAAAGCGCCGCGCGATGCGGTGACCACCGTCTTCGTTCAAAGGCTAGCCAAAAGCCGCTGCCGCGAGGATGACCGGAGTTGCCGTGATGGTTAATGCCCCTCAAGCTCCACCGACAGTGTCGCACGCAGTTAGCGGGAATTGAGAAGGAGATAGCTGAGGATCAGGCAGGGGAGCTCACCACCCCCCCCACTCACCCCCCCCCCCGCACCCCCCCCCCCACCGGGCTGTGGATGTGCGGCGCTCACGCGAACGAGGCGCCATGCCTCGGCGATGATGGCATACTGCACGCGGTTGAGAGCGAAGCCCGGGATCTCGCGGCGCAGCGTGACGGGCGCCTGTCCCAGCCGCCTCATGAGGCGGTGCGCCCGCGACAGCGCCGCGCCGCCCGTGCCGGCGTGCGGCACCAGCTCCACGAGCCGCACGAAGTACGGCGGGTTCACCTGCGAGGAGGACAGCGCGAGACCAACGCGGAGCGAAGGTCGCGCCCGCCCGGGCCGAGCTTCAGCGGCCCGTCGAGCGGCGCTAGCCATACACGCGTTGAGGCGGAGCAGACTTTGGGGTGGCCCAGGACCGGTGCAGATAATTGGTCACCGGTGAAATATAAGAAGAGGTTTTATATTATCAGACCATGTTTTTGGTTTGCATGTTTTGCCAGAGGTATGTGTGTTCAATAAAGACTTGACACCTCGCAAAAAAGGGGGTGCCTATTTGGTGTTTGACAATCTTAACACCTCCTGTTTTATTGCCAGAAAGGGGGAAAAACCAAACTCTTATTTCTCAACATTTTGAATGCTGGCAAAAAAAGGTCCCATTGATATAATCGTCGCTGGTGTTGACCGTGAGCGGGACTCCGGCTCGGCTCGCCGGTTGTGCAGCGCAGCGTGCTCAGCACGACGCTGCCGCTCTGTGTGCGTGGGGAAGCACACCAGAGTGGACATGTCATTGGTCAAACTGGTGAGGAGCGTATGTGGCGGCGAAGTGTTTTTCGTTTTGAATTCAGCCGCCAGTGAATAAACTCCAGGCACGACAATGATGGTGACGACGGCAGTGAGTTACAAATGAACCAGCCGCGATGTTTACACTGCTTGTGAAACGACGACGGAGGCATTGGTGACGACGACGCCATTTATGACGACGACGATGATGCTGCTAACGTGCAATATTAATGGGAAATCACGATCACGTCTACGGCCGTTCACCCAGGAGATGCCTCCAGTCTCATGGCTATTTTTCAGGAGGGTCCTGCCAAGCTTTCACGGTACACAGAGGGGAGCGGTGGCGACGATTTGCTACGCATATTCCTGAGTGAGAGGTAAGCTTGAACCGCGACACGCCGGCACGACCCTGGCGAGTCCCTCACGGGGTGGCAGACGAGGCAGTTGGCCGGGTATCGTCGCTGGGCGAAGAGGGCCGAGGGCAGCAGGCATGAGGTGGAGCTCGCGAGCACCGTGCGGGGCCCCAGGAGCGGGTCCAGCTGCCGGTACAGCTCCTCCTTCATGCTCAGGTCCTCGGGGATGCACTCCTGCAAGGGCAGACGCGAGCCACATTAGGGACAGGCTTCTGCATCGATATGGAGCTCCAATGTCCCCAGCATCTCAACACGACCGCCGAGCGTCTGACAGAAGGGAACAGAGGAACGAGAGAGGAGAAAGCCCCTTGTCACACCCGAGCCAGGCCAGAGCAGGGCCCTCGTGGTACGGTTTTCCACTGTCGATCTGCCGAGCTGAGCCGGAGCCAAATCATGGTGCGCTGGCCTCACAAAAACATTTGAATCCGGCTCGGGGTCAAGTAGGGCCAGAGGTGACGTCGTTAAAAGTCAAACACGGCGTCACTGTGTTATTTACACGCGTTTAAGAACTCGAGCACGGCTCAAGTTCTGCATGTTTGTTTGAACTTCTGTTCGCACCATACGTAGCCAACCGTGCTATTCGGAGGTGGCGGGGAAAAAAAAACTTCTCCGGTGGAAAAAAACCTCAAACCTAGCAGCTCCTGAGCTGTGCTGGGCTGGCTTGGCACGGCTCTAAGTGTGGATCAGTCGTGCACTGAGAGAGAAGTTGAGGCTCCCACCTGCACGTAATCCACACCGCTAACCGCCTCCGACAGATCAGCGACGGCTTGGATGAGAGAGAGCTGAGAGTCCACGGGCAGGGATCCACGCAGGGAGCCGGATGCCGCGAGGGATTTCAGATTCTCCCTGGCGGGAAGACGCAGCAGCACGAGACACGCGTGCATAGTTGCACATAAATCGGGCACCTTTGGCTTAGAAATCGTGGATTGTTACGAGGCGAGGCGCACATCACCGTGATGAGCCATTGTCAAAAGCTGTGGAGCTTACACCGCGCAGAGTGGACAACACAGAGGCGAACTCACAGTTTTAGAAACACTATATCATGATAGGTGCTGTGGGCGTGGGCTGTGAATGGCCAGGAGATGGCAGTCTTGAATCTGTATGGAGCTTTAAGTGCCATTACCTCCACGTATGCGTGGGCTCTTTCCGCGTAGGCTATCGTCCTCCCGCTTATCAGTCATTCAAGAAATTGGTAAAACTTTGTAGGGACTCTTTGAAAAATGAGGCCTGGCACTCAGAAAGGCTTCTTGGGTAAAGGCAATTATTGATATAGTTCAATAAGAACTGACAGAAAATCGATGATGAATCTCAATCAACCAATGCCTGGTTACATTAAATAAAAACTGGATTTGGCGTGCATATAAAGCGTTTGTGCAGAGGTGATCAGTGTAAATGTTTGTCGAGCTGAGCTGTCAAAAGCAAAGTGCGCCTCCGTCTGCTATATTGGTATCAGCATCTGTGTTTGTTACCCCAGGTAGCTAAGACAGACAATGATGAATGTGGTAGGGTCGTGAGATTTCTTTATAGTTCCATGGTTTTAAAGACAACAGTTCATTCCAAACAGCATCAGCTTCTGCAATGTGTGTTGATGGCTCCCCCTGCTGGGAAGATTGTCTCTTGCCTGGGGAATCTCTCGACGCCTGTTTGCTATCACAGCGTTCTCCCATTCGGGAACACTTTTCGCACAACGCGGAACTTACACTGGTATAATGCGGTACGCACACCGTTATAACGCGGAACTTACACTGGTATAACGTGGTACGCGCACCGTTATAACGTGGTACGCGCACCGTTATAACGTGGTACGCACACCGTTATAACGTGGTACGCACACCGTTATAACGTGGTACGCACACCGTTATAACGTGGTACGCACACCGTTATAACGTGGTACGCGCACCGTTATAACGTGGTACGCGCACCGTTATAACGTGGTACGCACACCGTTATAACGTGGTACGCACACCGTTATAACGTGGTACGCACACCGTTATAACGTGGTACGCACACCGTTATAACGTGGTACGCACACCGTTATAACGCGGAACGCGCGCCGTTATAACGTGGTACGCGCACCGTTATAACGTGGTACGCGCACCGTTATAACGTGGTACACACCCCGTTATAACGTGGTACGCGCACCGTTATAACGTGGTACGCACACCGTTATAACGCGAAACGCGCGCCGTTATAACGTGGTACGCGCGCCGTTATAACGTGGTGCGCACACCGTTATAACGCGGAACGCGCGTCGTTATAACGTGGTACGCGCGCCGTTATAACGTGGTGCGCACACCGTTATAACGCGGAACGCGCGTCGTTATAACGTGGTACGCGCCGTTATGACGTGGTACGCGCGTCGTTATAACGTGGTACGCACACCGTTATAATGTGGTACGCGCGCCGTTATAACGTGGCACGCACACCGTTATAACGTGGTACGCGCGCCGTTATAACGTGGCACGCACACCGTTATAACGCGGAACTTACACTGGTATAACGCGGAACGCACACCGTTATAACGTGGTATGCGCTGTTATAATGTGGTACGCGCGTCGTTATAACGTGGTACGCAAAGCGTTATAACGTGGTACGCGCACCGTTATAACGTGGTATGCACACCGTTATAATGTGGTACGCACACTGTTATAACGTGGTACGTGTGCCGTTATAACGTGGTACGCGCGCTGTTATAACGTGGTACGCGCGTCGTTATAACGTGGTACGCAAATCGTTATAACATGGTATGCGCACCGTTATAACGTGGTACGAAAAGCGTTATAACGTGGTACGCGCACCATTATAACGTGGTACGTGCACCGTTACAACGTGGTACGCGTGCCATTATAACGTGGTACGCGCGCTGTTATAACGTGGTACGCGCGCCATTATAACGTGGTAAGAGCACCGTTATAACGTGGTAAGAGCACCGTTATAACGTGGTAAGAGCACCGTTATAACGTGGTACGCAAAGTGTTATAATGTGGTACGCGCACCGTTATAACATGGTACTCGCGCCGTTATAACGTGGTACGCGCGTTATAACATGCACTCGCGCCGTTATAATGTGGTACGCACACCGTTATAACGTGGTACGCGCACCGTTATAACGTGGTACACGCACCGTTATAACGTGGTACGCAAAGCGTTATAACGTGGTACGCGCACCGTTATAACATGGTACTTGCGCCGTTATAACGTGGTACGCGCGCTGTTATAACGTGGTTCGCGCGCTGTTATAACGTGGTACGCACACCGTTATAACGTGGTACGCGCACCATTATAACGTGGTACGTGCACCGTTACAACGTGGTACGCGTGCCATTATAACGTGGTACGCGCGCTGTTATAACGTGGTACGCGCGCCGTTATAACGTGGTATGCACACCGTTATAATGTGGTACGCACACTGTTATAACGTGGTACGTGTGCCGTTATAACGTGGTACGCGCGCTGTTATAACGTGGTACGCGCGTCGTTATAACGTGGTACGCAAATCGTTATAACATGGTATGCGCACCGTTATAACGTGGTACGAAAAGCGTTATAACGTGGTACGCGCACCATTATAACGTGGTACGTGCACCGTTACAACGTGGTACGCGTGCCATTATAACGTGGTACGCGCGCTGTTATAACGTGGTACGCGCGCCATTATAACGTGGTAAGAGCACCGTTATAACGTGGTAAGAGCACCGTTATAACGTGGTAAGAGCACCGTTATAACGTGGTACGCAAAGTGTTATAATGTGGTACGCGCACCGTTATAACATGGTACTCGCGCCGTTATAACGTGGTACGCGCGTTATAACATGCACTCGCGCCGTTATAATGCGGTACGCACACCGTTATAACGTGGTACGCGCACCGTTAAAACGTGGTACACGCACCGTTATAACGTGGTACGCAAAGCGTTATAACGTGGTACGCGCACCGTTATAACATGGTACTTGCGCCGTTATAACGTGGTACGCGCGCTGTTATAACGTGGTTCGCGCGCTGTTATAACGTGGTACGCACACCGTTATAACGTGGTACGCGCACCATTATAACGTGGTACGTGCACCGTTACAACGTGGTACGCGTGCCATTATAACGTGGTACGCGCGCTGTTATAACGTGGTACGCGCGCCGTTATAACGTGGTAAGAGCACCGTTATAACGTGGTAAGAGCACCGTTATAACGTGGTACACAAAGTGTTATAATGTGGTACGCGCACCGTTATAACATGGTACTCACGCCGTTATAATGTGGCACGCACACCGTTATAACGTGGTACGCGCGTTATAACATGTACTCGCGCCGTTATAATGTGGTACGCACACCGTTATAACGTGGTACGCGCGCCGTTATAACGTGGTACGCGCGCCGTTATAACGTGGTACGCGCGCCGTTATAACGTGGTACGCGCACCGTTATAACGTGGTACGCGCACCGTTATAACGTGGTACGCAAAGCGTTATAACGTGGTACGCAAAGCGTTATAACGTGTGAGAAGTCTGTCCAGCATGCAAGCAGAGGCCAAAATACCCTCCAGAGGGCAGCTCCCGCAAGCTATCGGTGTGTCCAAACTTGTCTTTATTTTTACAGAGAGAAAATGCGGGATTTAAAAAATATATATTTTTATTTAAGAGCTATATAGCTCTTTCTCAGAAGCGACCTGGCCACCAGTGATAGCTCATCAGTGGCTTATCATGTGGAACGTATAGCAGCCAATTACTGTAAATGCATGATGTTGATTCTAAATATGGAGGGAAAAACCAGAGGACCCGGAGAAAAGTCCACGCAACCACGGGGAGAGCGTGAAAACTCCAAATACACAGGCGTCAGGGTCTCCTGTATACCAGGCGAGGTAGTTAACATCTCGCCACTGCAGAATTGTTATTTTATAACAACAAATTCTTATCAACAGAATCAGCGTCATCTTCACCAGACTATTAACATCGTCATATGGAGATGTAAGCTACTGTGGGTCCCGCCCCTGCTCCCCAACTCGTGTTTCGTTTTGTCCTTTGTTTTAAGTTATTTATCTGTGTGTGCCCATTATGTTTACACACATTTATTATTTGCCTTGCTTATTTAAAACACAAGTGACAAAATATGCAGACAATGCACCCCCTTAATAAATCAGTCCCTCCACATTTACCATCAAAAATAGCCTGAGACTGCTGATCAGACACAAAGTAAAAACTCCAGTTTGCTTTAAAAGGAGTCGAATGCTTTGAGAGGGGTCTCCCAAGCAACGTGTAGTCGCCAGTGCTTGTCAATGCCTGTGGTAGTGTTCCCCTAGCCCTCAAGACTACTGTTGTCACTCACATTCTTCAATGCTATAGCCCAACAATCTTCTACAATTCCATCCTCTCTCAAACCCCCCCCCATCCTTGGCAAAGTCCTAGAATGGGTCATCTTCCGAAGGCATTCCTTAACGCAGTGCATTCTGATTTATTCTAAAGGTAACTCTACATTCTTACGCCTTCGTCAATGACTTTCCCCTCCGATCATGGATCACTCCCGCTCCTCGTTCTGCTTGACATTTGTGCTGCTCTTGTGACCGCGATGGCCCCTCGTGTCTACGGGGAAAGTATCTCGGTACCGGATGTCCTGCAGGGCCTTCTCCGCGACGCCGGGCAGCGAGTCGTAGAGGCGCACGGGGAAGCCCGCGGCAGCAAACAGCATGGCCCAACTCCGGCCAATGAGCCCGCTGTAAGACACGCAGCACCGACACGCAGCAGGCAGACATTAGTTCATCATTCATCACGTGCAGTCGGCGAAGGAACGTGTGGCTGATTGCGACAGCATACGCATAGACTGCTCTTGGTGCTGTACACCGGCGTCCCGAGTGATCCGTTTGATCCACGGACCACGGGTGGTGGGGGGGGGTGGGAGCGGCGCCGTCTCTCTCCGGGGGGTCGCAGTTCTCACTTTGGACGTCAACCGCTCACCTGAAGTGCGCAACTTGCTGGAGTTTGCGCATCAAGACGGGCAACGTGTCCACAGAGTGACAGCCGCCCCCCCTCCAACTCAGCTCTCAAGCTCCGTTAAAATCAGAATCAGAATATTTATTTATACTGGAGGAATCCAATGAGCTACAAAGCTCTTTTTCACAGATGTCCAGTTGGGGCGGGTCAGAACGTTACAACAACAAACAGTACAAAAACACGATAGGAAAGGTAAACAAATCACTTAAAAAGCATATGCGAATTAAACTAAACTATTTTTTATCCTACCCGGTAAAGCCCAATGAGCACCCTGGGCACAAATGAGAGCTCAATGAAGTGGCTCATCACGGGGAAATTTAAAGCAGCAAAATTATCTCAATAATGTAAACGCATGTTTCTAAATGTGGAGGGAAAAACCCAACAAGAGGTCTTGAGAGTGGTAATGACAAATGTCAACCCCATGGAAGGCCACTGTGAAAGGTATAAGTAAAATTAATAAAAATACTTTTTTTATAAACACGCTTTTATGAAATGTACTAGTTATGGAAGAACTCCACCACGACTCCAGGAAGTGGCCTCGAAGCTTGCCACAACGTAAGGGGACCGTGGGCAATTACAGCCAATGTCAGTTTACCGTGGACAATTAGACCCAAGCTGAAATATAACATATAAAAAATAATGTTTAAAAATATTTTTTTTTATGATAGAATATAGTTATTGACATCAGTATGACATAAGTATACCAAGTTTGCAGTCGATACCACATTGGGAAGTGGGTTAACATTGAGTTACAACATTTGAGGATACAACAACAACAAGAATGACAACAGCGACAACAACAGAGTGAGTTAAATTAAAGCGTGTAAAAAGTGGTTATTTCACATGCAATAAATGCCTAATTGGTGAATTTAAAGTGGAAAATTAAAAGGCCCTCTCTAAACAGAAATTTACAAACACCAAGCTTTCACATAGCATGATTTACCATTCACAACTTGCAGTGCCCGCAACACAAATTAAAGTTTTAAAAAGTAAACAGGGAAATCACTATAGTTAAACAACAGCCTTTGATAATCTTGATTTGAAGCTTTCGTGACTGCAGGAATCCATACTCTTTGGTTCTTTTGGTCAAGTCACGTAGGTAGAAATAAAATAAGCCTTTGATAATATTAAAGAGCAAATACAGCTCTTTAATTTGATAGTAACTGCCCCAGTGTGCCCGTTTACACCGTGGACCTGCAACCCAGAGGTCACCGGTGAAAACTCCTGAAGCGGCAGCGAAACAAGAGGGCAAGTCTCATTCCTCCGCCTCCCTCCACTGAGCGGTATGAATTGGTAACGCCAATTCGTCCATCGGTAGGTCCCGTGTGATGGGGCAGTGTGTGGGTACTCCCAACCCCTTTTAAGGCGTAATTGCAAGCGTGGAAGAGTAGGCCAAAAGCCTCCGAGAGGAGACCACTAGAGGAGCTCCCTACAGTGGAGGCCCTTGAGCCAGCAGTGGCGGACTGGGCAATGTAAGAGCTACTACGTGTTCACGGTCATCTTTGAAAAAAACACGCACAAATTAGCAAAAAATACCAACACTTCAAGATAAAATAAGTTACCTTGGCCCCTATCTGTCAATTCATCGTGTTTACAAACTCAATGGTCAATGTTAAATCTCCCTTCGAGTAATAAGTTACACAATAACAGCCCAGTAGCTTAATGAATACAAATTAACACGGTAATATCAAAGCCCCTGTGTGGTGGGCTAAAGTGCCCAGGAGACTGTGATGCTTCTGTCACTGCACACTTTGAATGTGCGTTTAAGCGACTTTGGTCACAGACGTGGGATGGGGGGAGTTACTTTGTGTCAGCACACTGTGTCCTGGGTTCATATCCCATACCTGTCAACCCCTTATCAGTGCCCTACCTTATTACAGACCAACTCAGACCTTATTGGTCACCAGGAGTCCCTTATAAATCTCAACGTTCATCTTACAAAGCCCGTATTGTGCATTTGACGATCTCAGCCGAGTCACCATTGCCTATAAGAGTATGATGTACTTTAGAAGTTTAATTTAACACCACATGGTTTAAATTGCCGAGGGTGGCATTCTTGACTGAGCATGAAGGGGTATGGCATCGTGCCCGAGGTAACGCGAGGCCTTATTGAAGGTGTCAGCTTCTCGGCTCTCTCCCTGGTGCAATGTGAAACTCTGCCGACGAGCATGAACGAGGGCGTTCCACCACTTCATGAAATAACAGAGAACACAATTAGGAAATCACTCGTGTTAAAATTAAAGTACATGTTTAACAAGCGTCATTTCTCTATACGCACAGGCGTGAATACACTATTCCTTCAATGCACTTATGAGGCAACGCTAATGCAATGCAATTCTGGTACTAATAATAGTTTACTCTTAATATTTCACCAACCACAAGTGTCTTCATCAGTCAAGAGTTTAACCCAAAAGCACTGTAATTTCCATACACATCCAACAATGCAAGTTCATTCATATTTTATACAAATGAGTTGCTGGATGAGGGTTTCCCCCGTGCCGTGTGGGTAATCATGACCATACTTCACCACGCTGGACAGTGTGGGTTGGTGAGGTCAAACAGCACAAACGTGAGAGCAAAGAAGTCCAATGGAGCAGTGGATTTATCTACGCTCCCTTCTGTTGCCGAGCACGTAGCCTCAAAGCACTTTGACAAGCTGTCTGTGGATGGCGATCACCCATCCAAGCACTATCCAGGCTCAACCTTACTCAGCTCATGAGATCTGACAAAATCAGGCTCATGCCGAGTGATTGAGTGAGAGACAAACGCTAGTACAAGACCACATAGCCGTGTAACAAGGGGCGATGTCTGACCTATGTGCTAAATGCCCATCCATTTTGCACATAGGTCAACAGTTAGCGCTACGCTGCGCTACAAACCCGGCAAACCCGAGTTAGATTCCCGCTCACGGCCAACAGCGGCGATGAGTATCTAAACTGGTCCTGGGCCTCCCTTAGGGTGACTCGGCCTCAAATGAGTACCTGGTGCCGTGTGTAAACTTCGCCACTGGGGAGACAAAGGCGGCCGGGCGTGGTGCTGGCCACCCACCCCCTCGTGTGCTGTGCCGGCCTTCATTGGTGCTCGCTAGCAGCACTTGCCCCAACAGTCTGTTACAGGCTATACGGAGGATCTTTGATGTCTGACCTATGTGCTAAATGACCATGCACCGACATCTGGCGAGTCACAAACAGCGACAGATACATGTCACGTGCGGCATCAGTGGCAGATAATTTCAGAATAGAAAATAGGAGTGTACGGTGACACCGACTGTTTATAGACTTCCTTAGTCCAACACTGCAGTGTATTGAGCAAGGGGCACCCAGTGGCTTTTTAAAGGCTGCATTGTGCCCCTTAAATAATGAGTATTTTACCGAAATCGAAAAAAAAATTCTTATTTTAATTGCTGACCCCTGACCGTGAGAGTCCAGTTCACCATGGGAGTCCAGTTCACCATGGGAGTCCAGTTTACCATGGGAGTCCAGTTCAACATGGGGGTCCAGTTTACCATGGGGGTCCAGTTTACCATGGGGGTCCAGTTCACCATGGGGGCCAAGTTCACCATGGGAGTCCAGTTCACCATGGGAGTCCAGTTTACCATGGGAGTCCAGTTTACCATGGGAGTCCAGTTCAACATGGGGGTCCAGTTCACCATGGAAGTCCAGTTTACCATGGGGGTCCAGTTCACCATGGGAGTCCAGTTCACCATGGGGGCCAAGTTCACCATGGGAGTCCACTTCACCGTGGGAGTCCAGTTCACCATGGGAGTCCAGTTCACCATGGGAGTCCAGTTTACCATGGGAGTCCAGTTCAACATGGGGGTCCAGTTTACCATGGGGGTCCAGTTTACCATGGGAGTCCACTTCACCATGGGGGTCCAGTTCACCATGGGAGTCCAGTTTACCATGGGAGTCCACTTCACCATGGGAGTCCAGTTCACCATGGGGGTCCAGTTCACCGTGGGAGTCCAGTTCACCGTGGGAGTCCAGTTCACCATCGAAGTCCAGTTCACCGTGGGAGTCCAGTTCACCATAGAGAGAGTCCAGTTTACCGTAGGAGTCCAGTTCACCATGGGAGTCCAGTTTACCATGGGAGTCCACTTGACCATGGGAGTCCAGTTTACCAGGAAGTCCAGTTCACCATGGGAGTCCAGTTTACCATGGGAGTCCACTTCACCATGGGAGTCCAGTTTACCAGGAAGTCCAGTTCACCATGGAAGTCCAGTTTACCATGGGAGTCCAGTTTACCATGGGGGTCCAGTTCACCATGGGGGTCCAGTTCACCATGGGGGTCCAGTTTACTATTGGCAGTGGTCGGCTACCTGCGGCTCATTAAGGACTGCTGCTTCATGACGTTCTTTATCAAGGACCAATGTCTCGTATTCACACTTCGTAAAAATAGAGTTGTTGGCCAAATTTGAAAAAACAATGGCTGGTTTTGTTATTTTATTTGTGGACTCGTGGTCTCCGTGATGTACGTGGGGAGCGGTGGCGCAGTGGTTAGCGCTACGCTGCGAACCCGTTGACCCGAGTTCGAGTCCCACTCACGGCCACCAACACGGTTGGCGATTATCTGAACCGGTCCTGGGCCTCCCCTAGGTCTACTGAGCTTCAAATGAGTACCTGGTGCGGTGTGCGGTAAACATCACCACCAGGGAGACAAAGGCGGCCGGGCGTGGTGCTGGTCACCCACCCCCTCGTGTGCCGTGCCGGCCTTAATAGGTGCTCGCTAAAGCACTTGCCCCAACAGTCTGTTTCGGCTACACGGGGGATCTTTGTCTGGTCTTTGTACATCGCCAGTGACAGAGTCGGCCTGAATGTCACCCAGGTCTCGTTACAATTCGTAAGCTAAGCCAGCCACGAGCCTGGTTAGTGCTCGGATGGGCGCGCACTGTGCACCACAAACAGGTTGCAACCATTGGTGGCCTGCAACCCGCTCCCACACCTTCACCGACCTGCACTGACCAGAGTGGTGAAGTATGGTCAAATATTCCTCATGGCCCGCAAGGGCTTGGGGAGGCCCTCTCCCTGTAGGGGATTTCTCATAGTTAATCTGGCTACACAAGAGGTAGCGCATCAGATAGTAATTGTCATTGTGTACATGATATAGTATCTTATTCCACTGCTGGATGAACAACAGTTTGTAGTTTCGAACCGACCTATGCATGACACTGAGCAGCCTCCTACTTACTAAAGGCAATGCTAGACAGTAACTTTACTGTGGTAATATTTACTGTTTTTTTGTTTAGTTTTACCGTCAAATACTCTGCCTGGTTACTACTGGAGTATATTCGGCCCTGTATACAGTGCAGTACATTGCATTGCACTGCAGTACCTACATTACATTATGTTCATAGCGATACAATGTGAAGTATAACACTTTATAAGAATGTGGCACACTTAAATCCTAATAGACAGACAGTACTATACACTATAACAGAGTTCCTGTATTCAAGTTCTGCACTCCAGTAACCGCATGGCACCCAAAGTATACCGCTCGTCGATATTGAACTTGGAATTTTTTTTCCCCCCTCGGACTACATTAATTTTGTTTTATATTTTGCACGACAGTACTTTGTTTAGAGTTCACGAACGGCGCGGTCAACACAGCTGGTTATTGACTCAACCTGGCGATTGCCTGCGTAGCATTGTTCACCGGGAATTACCACAACACACCGCGTCACTAATTGTTGTAATTGCGTGAACATTCTCAGGTGATGATGGTTTTGAGAGTTCGGCAAAGTTGGCAATCTGCACGTGGCGGTACAGTGCAGCAGCACGTGCGTTTACAGTGCAGCAGCACGTGGCGACCGACGGCCCCAGCACTCACGTCGCAAGCTCAGCAGGGCCGAGCCTGGATCGTGCTCGTGGACGGGCGGGCGGTCGGCCACCGTGCAGCAGTAACCAGGTGCTTGCAGGCTGCGTGGTTTGAGCGCAGCAATGCAACACCATTGTTGTACACAACTGTTCGCCCTACGACGTCCCCCGCCTTCGCCGACCCGCATTCACCAGCGCGGTGAAGTATGGTCAAAGGATGCCGCCCACGGGCGTGGTGAGGCCCCCGTGCATCAACCCGCGAGTTGACCAAAAACGAGAGTTGTCCACGTGCACGTGCCTGTGTGTATGCACGTGTGGACCACGCGGCATGTCTGGGTGCAGTCCATGTGTAGTGAAGTTATTCTTCGTCGCTAATGGGAGCACGGGAGTTGTGTGGTAGGAATCAAACACGTCTTACCTCCCTATAATGGCGACTGTTGTTGTGGTCGTGGTCGTGGTGGAGTCTTTCCCCTGCTCAGCCATGCTGGTGCCCTTCCTTCTACGCGAAGCGGCTGTTTAAAGACGGCGCAGGGTGTCAGAGTCGGCTGCTTACTGCGGGCTGAGGCACCGGACCGCAACACCCCCCGACACACACACAGAGTCGATGTTGTCGACAGCTCCGAGACTCGCCACAACAACAACACCAACAAGACGACAGCCCCCGACGTGTCGCTCTTTGGCCACTTGCGGCGCTGTGCCGGCGTCTCGAGACCGAGCGCGGGGAGACTTCAGGGCCCCCCCCCCAAGTAGCGCAGGGGCTGCCCCCCCAAGTAGCGCAGGGCCCCCCCCCCAAGTAGCGCGGGGGGCACCCCCAAGTAGCGCAGGGGGTGCCCCCCAAGTAGCCCGGGGTGCCCCCCCAAGTAGCGCGGGGGGCGCCCCCAACTCGTGCCGAGGTAACTCTGTGGGGTCCGCAATGCAGCGAACGCAACGAGCCGATGAGTCATATCGCGATGAGTAATATCGCGATGAGTAATATCGCGTCTCGCTCCATCGTTGTTCGACGTTTAGCCCATCTCACGGCATGTGTCAGTCTGTGCGTGACATTATTACTAACTCGTGGTGTTCTAGCGTTGAGAGGAGGAGGAGGAATGTTATTTACTGCGGAAAGCCCCCGAAATGGGCTGGCACCGGCGGGTTCGCCACACAGCGCCACTTACCAGACCCCCTGGCACCTACCCCGGTCAACTTTCCTAACAGCAATACAGGGAGGGCACTGTTTGAAATAACTTTGGTTGGGTCGGTATGATGATGATGATGATGTTATTTTATTATTTTATTCGGTGGCTATGCTTTTAGTTAACCCGCTTATTTTTTCTGTTTCCTGAAGCTAAATCACGAGATGTGAATTGTTGGCACAATCCCCGGATGTGAAACAAGCGTCACAGAAGTGCAATGCCATCGTTTTCTTGGCGTTAAACAATGCCTCGTTTCGTTATGAAAGTCACGTATCAGCAAATCTGCAGTCAAGCGGTGAGGTTGATTGATGATTCGGCACTCAGCGAATCACCCCAGCCTCCTGATCAACCTTCCATTGCTAACACCATGAACTTCACCCAAGTCCTCCTTCACCAGTGTCGACTACTAACGTCTTCTTCTTTGCCGAATTCACGAAACCTATTACAGCGCTGTTGCTCCTATTTATCCCACTGCGGTACTCTGACATCTTCTCTGTTGCTGTTTGTCGCTGGTCGCTTGGCGTTTTGGCCTTTTGGCGCATTGCCCAGAGACCGTCACTAAAACGAAGAGCAATCCGCCTGTTACTGCCGTGAGCAGGTGAAACCTGGTGTTGGCTCATACGCGATATCAATCAGAAACACGGATCATGGGAAGGATTTCCCTTGCACCTCCTAGTATCCGTCACGATTTACAGGCAATGTGAAATTTTCAATGCTTCCTGGAGATCACTTTCCGATTTGTTTGGCTAATAAATACGAGCCATAGGAGTGTTTTGTGGAACAATGTGGGGCTCTGTATAATAGGAAGATCGGATATGGTTGCGGATAAGACAATTAAGTTTCACTGTGCAGTACTATTGATTTTAAATACATTCTGAGGCAGACTTATATACTCTTTGGTTCTATTCGGTAAAGTCACGTAGGTAAAAAATAAAACAACAAAAAATCACGACGTTTCGGCCACAACACAAGCGGCCTTCATCAGGTGAAGGGACCAGGCTGTCTCGAGGACAGCGCTGGAGTGAAACACAGCCACGCTCAGACCGCGACCTTTAAGCTGTGTGCGAGCAAACAAGGTGCCTTGACAAAGGAATTAGCATAAAAATTAGCATTTGATTGGCAGACTTTAGAAAAGAGGTGGTGTACGTGCCGGTGGACTTGCCGTTTGGCGCGGGGGGGGGGGAGTTTACCTATTGATGGTGTGAAAAGGGAATTTATAAGAGCTGCGAAAGTTTCGGGTACCACTACTTGAAAAATATACTGTACCATTGAAATTAGTTTAATGTTTAGTTCGATTTAGAACATCTTTCCAATGCTGTAGTTCTTCACCAGAGTCTCAACTAGCTCCACATAGTTTTCGACCATGTGATTGCCCAGGAAGGCACGACGTTTGGAAGGGTCCACCATGCAGAAGTAGCAGTTGCTTGAGTGGTCAGTGGGTTCCCGCCAAATTATTGGGATAGCAAACTTCATGGCTCTCTTTTCCCCTCTGTACCATCCTACAAAAATACATTTATTTCACCCACGACTAATGTGAAAGAGATTCTCACAACAGTTTTCATATATGATATCTTTTTTCAATAATATTGAAAATTGTAAAACATTTTAAAATTCAAAACTTTTCCAATTGTACAAATTTTAACAAATTTCATCACATAAAATTCCAAGCAATAATTGCCCATTTTACCTTCCAGAGTTTTTTTTGCATTGCTCGCAGGTGAAATGAGGTGCCTAGGGTTTGTCTTGATCCCCGACAGGCATGCCGAAATATGCCTTGTAGGCCTCACACATCTTAACAGATGCTTCCACAGAGTAATTTGTCGCTCTTGTCTTGATAAATTGGCCGCAGACTTAGCAAAATGCGTCTGCCGGATGCTTGCAGCCTCTTGATGCCATATCATAAAAATGCAGAATTGTATCCACTTAGGCAGCTGGAACTAAACTGAACTGGTGGGCTTAAGGCCCCTGTATTTATACTACTATTTATATTACTGGAAAGTTCGAGAATGTTTTAGAAGTTCCTCCAAGTTTACTCAGCACTGAATCTATCTGAAATGTTCTGGAAAATAGGTAAATTTCTAGATATCAATGTCCTGGTCACGAAAGCAAAGTTTGTGGGGAATAATAGCCATTTTCTGTACTTTTGAGGCATAAGCAATTAGGAAATAACACTTACTACCCCGGAACCAAAAAAAATGTTACACTGTTATATGCAGTAAAAAAATGTAAGATTAAAATATACGGTCAAAACATTTTCCAAACTAACAGTTTTACATCGAGTTTACATGCATGGATTCATTTAATGTAATTACTTTTTAATGGTATTGCATCACGTAAACATGTTTTCCATTAAATGACAGGACACAGCAGTGCGTGTTAGAAGATGTCAGGTGCAGGACACAATCCGAGCTGCTGACAGCACGTAATAATGGGACTTCTGGCTTCGAAGATCATTCTTGTTAGGACTGATATGTTGATGCTCATTGCTTGTTTTTTTAAAATGTACGTGACATGTGATGGAAGCAAATTAGTGGATGCAGATCAAGTGATGGGAATACGCATAGTCATACAAGAAATAAACGTATACAGTTACTCTTCTTCAAGAGATGCAACATATATACATGGATTTGCATTATATTTGTACAATTATCAGGAATCAATGAATTAGTACTATAGAGGCTACATTAACTCGACATAGCCACAAGTTAAGAATAATGTATACCATATTGTGCTGTACAATTAAAACAAACTGTACATTTGAATTGCTTTAACCAAAACGTAAAAATCATGGTGGCGTGAAAATTTAGAACGTCTGTATATTGTTCATAATCTTGTACTCAAATACTTTACATCATTACACACAACATACACCTAACAATGTATACCATACATTGTTTCCTTTCTACGTGACTTTACCGAAAGAACCAAGAATATGCACCTAACAGCTTATAAGCGGGTATAAATGCAACAACACAATGTACGTATGTTTATAACAGTTGCAATTCCACTGGAATGTTACACATGATGTATAATGCACATGCATACCAATACAATTATTATATACATCGCACCTAAATCAGTGACTGTTTGGCCTTACCTGCAGGTCAATCGTGGGGTACCTTGACTTCTGTTGTCAATGCCTGGCTTGTGTGTTACGTGTCCAGTGAAAACACGTCGTGGAGAATACGTTGCATGGCATTTAATAACGTGGTACATTGAATGTGTAAATGTTTAAAAGGACTGGAGTAAATATTACACTGTCCCGAGTTACAAACACCTTAATGTGTTACGCATGCTTTTATCCCCTCCAACATATTCAGCCCTAGATAACAAAGATAAACACCATGACTATCAGAGCGCCACGGTGGCGAGATGTTAACTACCTCGCCTGGTATACAGGGTTGTCGTGGGTTCGATCCCGACCCTGATGCCTGCCGTATATTTGGAGTTTGCATGTTCTCCCAGTGGTCACACGGATTTTTCTCTGGATCCTCCAGGTTTTCGCTCCACATTTAGAAACATGCGTTTTAGAGTATTTGGCTGCTAGAAATTTCCACGTGATAAGCCACTTTATTAGGCCATCATTGTGGCCAGGTCGCTTCTGGAAAAGTGCTTTATAGCTCAATGGGCTTTACCTAGTAAAACAAATAAAATACCTTAGTTTAAATCGCTTAGAATAACATGGTCTTTCTAGATACAAGTACTCTGTATGAAGGTTGTATGATGATGCAATAGAATAAAATCAGCTCGCAAGTGGCTGAACCTGAAACAGAAGTCCGCTGGTGATCATTCCCATGCCAGATGTCGTGGAACTGGTGAACCGTCATCAACTTAGGCTGACCACAAACAGATTTCACTTTTATTTCAAGCAACCACACATATCATGGGGAATTTGAGCTGAGACTGCGTGAAGTAACAAAGCACCAACCTGAGCACAACTTAGGGAAGGGGATATGCTCTCGCTCAGGAACGTTGAGTGAGCGCTACGGCTGATAGTGATGATGATGAATAAATATCCAGTACAAGTGCATATTCGGTAGAGTCCAGAATTTAGAAGGTGATTCTATGGATCCTATTATCAGCGGGGTCATATGCGGTTTTACTCCCATCCGCAGAGTACACATTTGTAAATAACCCTGCAGATAATAGGAATAAATATGGCTCCCGGATAATTCTAGGGATTTTCACGTGGGTATTAAGGCTGCGGAGAGGAGAGGTTCTCCTGTAATGTGCTAATACTACCGAGACGACATCTCACTGACAAATGCTGTCTACACGAGTGCGGCACGCGGTTGAGTGTTGTCTATAAACGTGAATCGTTAACCAGATGCTGCATGAGCAGCTATGCAGCAAGAGACCATGTACACACTGCCTCACCTCCCGCATCTGCGACAAAGGTGTCCTAGTGGAACATTAGCAGTCAGGGGTGGTGATGTGCAACCAGCGAGTAAGAATGTTAACACTGCCACACTGGTGAAAACATTATAAAAAAAACAGCAACCCAGTGTTGTTGTAAGCTCAACTGATTTTTGTGACCCCATTGCTGGCAGACAAAAATACAAATCCTGGTTTTGTGAGTGTCAGGAGTGGGGGTAGGCGAACGTAAACTTGAACGGAACATGTGCTCAGTATTGCATCATGCAAAACAAAACGGATTGACCAATAGGTCTCTGTGCAAGAAAACCATGTGTTAACCCGTATACGTAAATATATATATATTTTTAAATAATATTCATCCTATATTTGATATCTCATTGTAAACATCCTTTACGTGGTGCTTAACCTAGCAGTTCTTCGTCTTGGAGCCCTCCCTTGATGTGGCGGAGTTCCTGGTAGACCTGAGCACTGGACTGGGGCACCCACACCAGTCAAGTACTCAGTAAGAGGCCAAACGAAACGTGCTCCTCCTGACCAACCCACGTGATCCAGCGTGATGGAGTATGGTAAAGCCACCCCCATGCACCTAAACCACAACGCCCCAAATCACCAGCAGCTCTGCATCGAGCAGCCAGGGTATCAGTTGGGAAGGTGAAGGAGCAGGGAGGTCTTCATCCGGCAGTGGATTGACCAAGGCCGATGATGATGGTGATAATGAACGTAGGAATTCACCTAGTATTGTATTTTTACTTGTTGCAAACATTCTCTTGGCAGGTTTTATCACACGTCAGTCTTTACAGTTTCATGTTTCACTTTCTGCAATCTCTGCAGAAATAAACAAGATTATCTGGGAATATGTTGGCAAAACAATATCATAAACATGTGTTATGAGGTCTGTACACTACAGTATATATACACAAACCCATTTTCAAACATTTTGTTCCAAGAAACACTATACATTTACACAATACTGTACTTCGTATAAAATCATATTATACGCTATTGGACAGGATATGAAAATGTGTGTGTTTTTATTTAATGCTTTTCAACTACAATTAAAGCGCTAATGGATTAGCTCTGTGTGTAATGTGGGAGCACGATAACTTTCATGAAGATCATCGTTGACAAACTAAACCTGAGTATAAAGATGTGTTACTATTGTGCACTAACCCCACATGAAACTGGACCAATTGATCAAAACGTTGCCTGCGTTCTTACTCGCTCCTACTGGATATGTGAAAAGAGCTTTATAGCTCATCGGATTCCTCCAGTATCAATACATATTCTGATTCTGATGTAGCAGAGCCTCTATCCAAGCCCCATTGTCGCATTGCGACCTACAGACAATGCTGACTTATGTCAGCGCGAACGTTGTTATTGATCCGTACGGCATATTTCTGGTCAGGCCACCTGGTAATTTTATGCCAAAATTCGTGGTTTTGCTCATTTAAGGCCATCCTCGTGGAGGGTCGATGCCTGGTTCAGATACCACTTGTCACTGAATGAATATTACACACACATGAATCTTACATGCAAACATTGTAAGTGTTTATAAAGAACACGACTCTCCGCTAAAGCAATAATCCATATACTGTACATATTAAATAAAGCTACATCTATGCACTGAAATATATATTTGTAATGATTAATGAAAGAACAATATTTTTTCTTTCAGATGGTCCACAAACATCACGTCAACCGCAGCATGTGCTGTCGATGTCTGGCGCTGACGAGGGTCACGACCCTCAAGGCAGTCGTCAGTGATGACGCTGGACCATTTGGGGGCCCTGAAGCATTCCTTCATTGTGTTGACCAGACGAAAGGAGGTGGAAACAAGAGATACAGGTATACTTTAACTTAGCTATTTCAATGCTAAATTCTATGCTAATTCCTTTGTCAAGGGGTGCCTCTGCGGATGTGTATACTTTAACTTAGCTATTTCAATGCTAAATTCTATGCTAATTCCTTTGTCAAGGGGTGCCTCTGCAGATGTGTATACTTTAACTTAGCTATTTCAATGCTAAATTCTATGCTAATTCCTTTGTCAAGGGGTGCCTCTGCGGATGTGTATACTTTAACTTAGCTATTTCAATGCTAAATTCTATGCTAATTCCTTTGTCAAGGGGTGCCTTTGCGGATGTGTATGCTTTAACTTTAACATAGCCTTTTCTGTGACCAGTCACAAGCTAACCACTCAGCCATTTCAATGCTAAATTCAATGCTAATTCCTTTGTCAAGGCGCTTTGTTTCTTCTCACACAGCTTAAAGGTCGCGATCTGAGCGTGGCTTCTCTCACTCCAGCGCTGTCCTCCAGACAGTCTCGTCCCCTTCACCTGATGAAGGCCGCTTGTGTTGTGGCCGAAACGTCGTGAGAATATTATTGTGTTATTTTATTTTATCAATTTATTATTTTATTCTCATTCTACGTGACTTTACCGAAAGAACCAAAGAAGAAGATACAGAGTTATTAGTGATATAAGAGAAAATTAGACGAACATAGCAATTAGAGATGCAGACAAGATAGAAATTAGTGATTACTTGGCATTTATACTGATTAGCTCGTAATGTTGATATCGATTTTAACTTCAGCTGATATATATTTGATGCACCCATATTTTTTTGGACTCTTGTGACCCGTCGAGTCCTGTTGGGGCCCTAAGCTCCTGCTTGGTCTGCTCATGCCCAGCACCACGACTGGCAGTGGGCAGCCCACCGCTGATCTCAGCAAGGCCGCGATGTCCGAATGTCCTTGCTCGTGGCCCCTTGGCACCTCCGCCGCCGCCGCCGCCGTCTGCGACACAAACACTCGCGGCTCAGCAGGTAGGCCACCTCGGCCACGTTGAGCAGCAGGCAGACGGCCGACACGGCCAGCATGAAGATGGTGAAGACGGTCTTCTCGGTCGGGCGCGACACGAAGCAGTCCACCAGGTTGGGGCACGGCGACGCGTCGCACTTCAGCAGACGTGGCATGGCGACCCCGCTGTGCAGCGTGTAGAAGATGTACAGGAACGTGCACTCGATGAAAATCCGCGAGATCACACTGAACACGTATGTGAACAGGAGCGCACCGTCCATCCGGATGGTGCTCGGGGGACTTCCCGACGGAGGCCGAAGCTCTGAGCGGTGCAGCTCCACGTCGTGCTCCTCGTCGTGCTCGACGCTATCTCCCGGAAGCTCCGCGGTCTGGCCCGGCAGGTTGTAGATGTTTCCCCTCTTCCGCTTGGCCCTGCGGTGGCGGTGAGCGACGTGCATGCCCACCAGGAGGGTCGGCGTCGACACGAAGATGAGCTGCAGGGCCCAGAGGCGCACGTGCGAGATGGGGAAGTGGTGGTCGTAGCACACGTTCTGGCAGCCCGGCTGCAGCGTGTTGCACACAAAGTCGGACTGCTCGTCGCCCCACACGCTCTCGGCCGCCACCACCAGCACCATGATGCGGAAGATGAAGAGCACGGAGAGCCACACGCGGCCGATGGACGTGGAGTAGCGGTTGGCGCCGCTCAGCACCTCGTAGAGGCCGTCCCAGTTCATGGTCTCCCCCGCAAGCCTGTTCAAGATCAACACATTACAATTAGTGAATGCGATGCGGGAATGCTGCGATGTGTGGTACAATGGTGAGCACACCCGCACAAGAATACGGAGGGCGCTGGTTCGAATCGATCTCTTCCTGCGGGGCAGTTGGGGCAATGATTACGTTTCTTAAATGCACCCCAACCCACCTTATGTCCACCCAACAGTGTGAATGGGTGCCACCACAGTTCGTTGATCGGCAGGTCGCAATGTGGTGGGGTCAATTGTGGTGACTGCCACCTCATCCAAGACGCCTGGACAGTGTGGAAGAGTAGGCCTAAACATCCTCTAGAAGGGCTCTTTCAAGGTCCCTGTAACGGAGGCCCTTCCACCAGCATTTTTGTTGTCCTCCTGCGCCACCGTTGGCTACGTACGGTGAAAAGAAGTTGAACATACAGCAGTGGCATGATAAAACAATTGCAGGGCTGCGCTATTCTGATGCCGATGTGTGTGGTCAATGACCTCCTCCTCTCCTCTAACCTTGGAGTTCAAAGGTAACACATTCAAATTCTGATAAGGGGATGACTTAAACCATCATCCGGAAATATTGATAAATTGAGTACCACTTTTACGAAAAGTGAACAGTGGTGCGGCACCTGTCACGTGATCAAATGTTGTTTCACACCACCGATCCCATTGTTTGAGCAGAGGCAATTTTAACCCTTGCCTTTTGACATGAAAGCTACAAATCATAAAATGATTTTTTTAATTATCACAAAAACGATGACACAAACTATAAAGACGATCACAATCCGACGAATTAATATATGCTAGGAATCAACCAGAGCTCCGTTGTCCGTATATCGCGACCTTTCACTATGGACCAAACAAATCATTTTGCGTGTGATGTACAAGTCTATCTATATGGCATCCAGTTACAGTATGAATAATTTGTCACTACATTTCTTATTTAAAAGGCCACAGCAGCTCACAAATTAATGTATAATCAATTACATCAGCTATGAAATGTATTAATTTACCCACCTTGAGGGAGCAAAGCCTTGTCACGGCGACTGAATGTTTAACCTCTAGGCGCATTTGTTAAAACATTTATAGTGTCGGTGTTTTTGCCGGTGACTGAAAGAAAACATGGGTGTGTCCACAGTTAACTGCCATGGGTGTTATGCATACAGAATGGGTACTTTTTTTTAATTGCCTGATGCACGATGAAGTTAGGCCATAGCGTGCCGAGCTGTCGAGTATAATTTGTGGATACGTGCGGTACCGTACAGAGATAGACCATTTCCCAACCCACATCACATTTGGCAGCGCGTGGTTTTTAAGTTGTCACAAATTACCTTTCTCCCGTCCCAATCTTTTGTGAGGCCATAGCATGTAAACATTCAGCATAAGATACTTCATGATTCGTACGAATGCACACTCTAAGTTCCCACACTGAGGTTGCACAGCAATCCATTATGGGGTTTCCACATTACCCCACATTGGGTGTGCCGCCTTCAGTCGCATTTGTTCTGCAATTACTGGGTACAAAGTAACCACTTGGATCGGGCAATATGGAAAACCCGTGTTGGATCATTCCACACCCCTTTCTGAATGTTAAACTATACGCTATTTTTTTATATACCAGATAAGGTCCACTGAGCTATGTAGCTCTTTTGCAGAAAGCGACCTGGCCACAAATGGAAGCTAAACGAAGTGGCTTAACACGTGGAAATCTACAGCAGCCAAATACTGTCAACACGTGATGTTGATTCTAAATGTGGAGGGAAAACCCAGAGGACCCGGAGATAAATCCACGCGACCACAGGGAGAACATGCTATCCCCAAATATATACAGGCATCAGGATCGAACTCACGACCTCCTGTACACCAGGCGAGGTAATTAACATGTCGCCACAATTCCACTATTGGATTGTAGATGGAGTCGACTTAGATTTCTGCGGCTTAAACCACATTACCTTGTATAAACATTAACATGTAAAATCTGAGATTCAACCACATTATTGAAATCAGCATCGGTTTTTATTTGGTTTTGCAGCAAGAATACAATCCACAGAAGCGCACACAAACCTATGGAACGTTTACTTTACAACCCAAGTTTCAACTAGCTTGGGTGTGAAAAAGCCACCTATATGAAATTGATTATGTCTGAAATTATTTGGAGCTGTTTCAGAAGTATCGCTTCACACATGAATTATTTAAGCCTAATGCTTCCACAACACACAATCTTGGGGTAAAGTTAAGGCTCATGGGTAACCCACCAGGCTACCTACCCACTCTAGATAAAATACTGTGGTTTTGGTTCGAATAGTATAGATTCATTTAATTTCGTTGTTTCATAACTCAATATTAAATCAGAATAAATCGTCACAGCAATAATGCTAACTTTTAGATGATTTACAAACATAAGCATTGCCTGGCACCTAGTGATCAGAATGTGCAAACATTCAAGGGTATTTTAAACACACATGAGGAGAAGCAGCTCAGTAGTAACAATAATTATATGAAGAAACTATAATGGATATTGTCTGTGCATTTCATGCTGCTTTTTCTGTTATATCCAATAATATAGCAAGGGCACAATGGTATCAAAACTGTTATAAGACATCAGCTAAGTGTCCAGAGAGTGATAAGTGACACAGGCGAGTTATAGTGCGATAACGATTGCGAACGCTCAAGCTCATGTCAAAATGTTTCCAGAGCTGGAGGTGGTGGAGATTTAGAGAATATGTAGTGAACTAGTCCAGACCACATGCACTCAAATATCAGCCACATCTCAATTTATTGGTTATTATCTGTTCATTACTGGATTCAAATTGGCACCAGAGTCTGCTCCTTAAAGTATGATTCGTTATGCTCCTCCATAAGATCGGAGTACATCACGCCATCTCTTCTTAATGGAATTCCTTGAAATGCATTCATATTTACACCGAGGGCATCTGAATGCTGTGTGTGTCGGGAGTAAGCACAGCATTATCTTTATTCAAAGTTGGAGCACTCTTCGTGTTTGTAGCCGCCCTGATCTTGCTGTTGCATGCCTCTTCATACTCAACATCAGACAGCACTGGTGCAGGCAGAGAGTAAAGGAGACACAGGATTGGTAGCATTGACAATGAAACTAAACGTATGAGAAACCAGCCAATTCAAAGTCACAGCCAACATCAGTAGTGATATCTTAACTGGTCCAACCCCATATTCTTAGTTTTTTCGGTAAAGTCACGTTGAAGAGAAACAACAAAATAATAAAATATATTGTTTTTATTGTTATATATTTTATTATTTTGTTGTTTCTCTTCAACGTGACTTTACCGAAAAAACTAAGAATATGAATTACTGCAGTCACGAAAGCTTTAAATCAAAATTTGGTCCAACCCCCTTCACCAACCTGCACTCACTAGCTGAGTACAGTCAATCGACCCCTTGACTGACACAGGGTGGAGAGGTGTTCATTCAGCAGTGTACTGACAAAGAGCTCTACATTATGAATTGTTATTTAAAGGATAAGGAATCAGTATTTATTGTCTGGTCCCTCGGAGTTGACTACATAATTGTATTACTACGAGAAATTCAATAGCTGGTGTGGCACACGTGCAGACAGACTGAGAAAGGATATTTGCTGTGACAGGTACGAGCAGGGTTTCTGCCTCGGTTTGGATCTGCACTTCATAGGAAACGGGACCCAAGTTCTCTGCTCTCAGCTCCAAGATCAGCTCGATGTGAATTCCAGCTGCCACCTACCACAGGTATGGGCACAGGGAAAACAAACATAACAGCAATTGAACAAATTAATCAGTGGATACAGAGCAAGACTGTAAGGAAATTCAGTGGCCCTTTTTGGAAAATGGGACATCACAAAAAAGCAGAACAAATATAACATGCAGTTTGCTTGAAACATATACAAGCAAATGCATTTACATATATAACTCTACATTAAATAAATGCGAATTCATTACAGTGTTGTATTAAGAATGCAATCAATAAACAAATCGCAAGCTTCATGACATTTTGTTCAAGGTAGGTGAATCCTTCCAAGTGGCTTCAAGTTGCAATTTTTACATTGGTAGCACTCACAAAGTTCAACACATTGCATCATTATACGTTTAATGTTTAAGTACATTGGGTACAGATTAACCATTTGAATTTTCATTCATAATCTATATTTTGGAAAGAAAATCACAAACTGTACGTTTTCACGAGTTTTTTTCTCGACAAAATATTGACATAGCTTAACGTGAAGGATAATTGCTTTAGTTGCACAAAAAACATACTGGCCCAGGCGTGTAGATAACTCGGATGCCTGTGCTGGATGGAGGAGCTTTCACTTTGAATCTGTGAAGATAGAAATGTTACTTTTTCATTTCTGGGTTTGCGCAATACAACTTCAAAGCCATCACCTTGGGTCTCGGGAGTGTATCAAAAGGGTCATTATAGGCACGATGCCATAGATTATGTAATAATTTCAATGAACTAGCCACATTCTATGAATCACACTCTGATTCTATATTTGGCATCACCATCATCAGCCAAGAACAATGCACAGTTGGATGAAGGCTTCCCCAATCAGTTGTCATCTCCCACGTGCTGCATTGTAACACTCCACCTGGACCCTACACACGAGTTGATTTCATCGCTCCATCTTCTCAATGGAGGTCCTCCTCGACAAGTTCCGTTCCTTTGATGCCGCTCCATCACAATTATCTATGGGCCATCATCCCTTCTCCTGATGCATCCTGCCCAAGCCCACAACAGTTTGAATGATGTCTTTGACTTGTGTATGTTCTGTAATCCATGCTTGTTGATTATAATTCTAAATGTAATTCCAAGCATACCTCTCCATTCTTCTTTGTACAGTTTTTATACAAAAGAAATAAGTGTTAATGATCATGGTTTTTTTATAAGTCACAGCAGGCAACTGTAGACAATCAAAATGGAGGATCACTCAATCAACCTTCTTGCCAAACTTGTTTAAATGCACCCTGGGTTCAAGGTTACAATCCTCAGTGCTCCAATAATGCCCTGTAGTGACACTGTCAGATGAATGCAGGGCCCTGTGCGCTGGTGTCATGACCAAAACTGATGAATCATCCATAATAACTTAATCGCACGATTGCCCCTTTATAAAAGCCCGTCCGAGCCTAGACGCCAATGCGTTGACGTAATAGCTGGCATAAGGGCAATGATGACACATTACATTATAATGGACGTACATGCGTGGATAAGAGATAATGACTCGCTGACCTGTGCTGCTCCGTGCCTACATTCTGGAGGCGGATGCGACGCACATTCGAGCTCCCTTGTCGTAGGGACCCAAAGTTGACACGCGTTGGAAGCAAAGTGAAGCCCTGCAAAAGTTCTGATCTTGCCAATGCTCCCACCTGTCATGGAAGAGTAATTATAGAATATCTCTGATGAGTTTTCAGGTTGTACCACATGTTGTTGGGCGTGATGTCGGACGTTTTGCTCCATGTGTTAGGTTTTTCAGGAACTGAAGCTCCCAGCAGGTGCAGCGAAATGTAGGACATCATGCTGAACAACACACAGTATAACTTTAAAATACTTTGAAGAGCTACACAGCACAACCGCAGAAGAGTATGCAGGAATAATAAATACAGTATAACAATTTCAAAAGAATAACATATGCCTTAGAATAAATGTATACATCATACAGCTTTAAATGTGAATTATACAGGGTTCACCATTTACTACAATTCCTCATTTTATAAGCCATGCTCATTTGAAAATCCCCCATAAAAGAGCCACGTTTTTAGGCCTAACTTAAGACGAGACAAAAATGGGCATGACTCAGTTTGTGATGGAAGATGATTCCATAATTCTGAATGTATTAAAAAAAAACGCTGTCACCAGTACGAGTGTTGGTTGGCAGGCCTACCTGGAGTTGGCAGTCTATTGATCATTGTGTCCGAAATGGGTTCTATGGCGTACCCATTTACATTAGATAAGCGGATACAGGTCTATTAATTTCCTTCAACATCAATATAAAAAACACAAGGTCAGTTGAATCTCCAAATCTACAAACCCTAAATTGTGGCAATCTATGTCACTAAAATTGCTACCTTCAGAGCACAAGATATTTTTACATTGTCAGCTTTATGTAAAGAAGGTTCTTAATAGAGGTTTACTTAGGTAGACATTGTCCTGATAATGTTATTATTGTTAATTTAAGATATTCCGATAAGTTATATCTTCAAAAATTATACTGTATACTCATCATGATCATTCGATGTCTTCAACTCTAAAACAGGAGAGTGAACAATTCTGAAATAAGTGACAATTTTACATTCTGTCTCGTACAGAAGATTACAAACGAGAGGGGGCCATTCGGTCTACCGAGCTCATTTGGCTGTTAGTAGCAGATCAATTCTAGGATCTTAACAAGGTACATCTTGAGGAGTGAATCAGCTTCCACAATGTGCGTGGGCTGTGTCTTACGGACTCCCACCACATCCAGCTGATGACGACGATGATGTCGACCACGACGATAATGATGACGATGAAGACGATTGTGGTGGTGGTGGTGGTGGTGACGATGACACTGACGATAATGATCTTTGGGATGAGACTGGGACACGCGAGCGACCTTCTCGTTGTGCACCGAACGTGGGCGTGAGGCGAGGACAGCGGCCGGGAGCCGCACACGCTCCCTGCGCGCCGAGC